CCATCTGTGATAATAATAATAATGGTGATGGCGATAGCAGGAGCAGAAAGTCTTGGAGAACCACCACCCACAGTACGCCACTAAACAGGCATAGCACCGTGGCTACGGGCCTCCTCATGACCGCATCGCGAAGGAGTGAGGGGTGGTAAAGGGGAAGACGACATCAGAAAACCGCATCATCGCGTCAGCAAAGCACAGTGTCAGCTGTGACGGTTGTTGCTACTCAGCAAAGATGTTTTGCTCAGACGCGCACTACAACTTTTGTCTTCATCCACGGATGCGGTTGTCACTCACACGTACATACATACACACATATGCACAGGATGTCGTCCCCAGAAAGGGCAGCAGATCTCCGTCCCAGATATCACCACGCAGTGCACACAACAGCACAATGCAAGGCGGTTGGAGGAACGTCTAGCAGCAACAACAGTGAGAGAGGTGACAGAGGGCAGAGCGGGCAGAACACACACTGACCGGGTCTTCATAATCCTTGACTCTAACTCCGTATGATTAGCGCGCGGGCAGAGTAATAAACCGATGAATAACTCTGGTGTTATGCATATTTTATTGTTATGTTACTTTACTTTCTAATATGTTTACCTTTTTTTTAGGATTTAATTTGTATTAGTAAATTTTCCTTTTGTTTCGTTGTACAGAAAGTAAGGAAAGATCATTGTCAGAGTTGTTTTTTTTTTTCTGTGTTTGTATACTTTGAGATAGTAATTTAATAGTTGCGTAAGAATTATATTAATTTATATTGTTTGGAGTTTTATAAAATATAAGTGTTAAAGTCAATATACTTTATACCGAACCCAATGTAAAAACTGATTTTTAAGGACTTGACATTATAATTCTGAGGGAGGCGTGCACGATCTGTCGTGCCTAATTATGTGTGATGAGTCTGTCCATATTGTTCCTTTATCGTTAGTTTAGGATAAAAAAAAGCCTTTCTTTTTTCTTTTCTTTTACGTTCTCACTTCGGTATCAAGTGCATTGACAGCTGTAATATTATATCTGAAAGATAACCATGTGATACCAAGATCCAACACGATATTATCTTTTATGGTATTTTCAACTTTTTCTTCTTCTTCACTGATACTAGATGAGGTTTCGCTTGAGTTTGTCGTGAATGTATGATGATTCTTTTTCTTCTTTTGCTCAATAATTTCTGCAGCAACTGCAGGTGTTAAGTGTTTGCACTCTGCTGGATACAAAGTTTGGTGCTGTTCCTCTCGCGGATGTGTGTAGGCTTTGCTTAGTCGATGCCCTGGTGTGTACACACGGCGATCCACAGCGGGAAAATCAACTGTAGAGTCGTCTGTTTCGTCAAATTTGAGTGAAGAAGTTGGAGATTTATTCCCAGTTTTTTTATCTATTGTTTCATGTTTTCCTGTGCAGGGTGGGTGAACTGTGTTCTCGCTACAAGACTCTATTATTGTTGTTGTTGTTGTTGTTGGCGGTGTGGTTTCTTCAGCAACAGTAGTTATGGGTGTTGTGAATGACGTTAGTTTAACGGGACTCGCACAGCGTGCAATAAAGGCATTAATAAATGAAGTTGTGGAAAGCACAGAGGGAAGTGTTGCAAAGAACTCCACTAGACTTTGTTGATGTGATTGTTTTGACATTTCGTTGGCTTTCATTAAATCGTTTTGATAAGTCTTACACCAATCCTGCATGAGACCCACTGCTATACTGAATTCAATAAAAATGAGTGCTTCTGTTGTAGTGGAAGAAGAATCAATGGAATGATTAGAATAAGTCTCTGATGTTTGTGAGAGATTAAGGTTGAAGTTCAAAAGGCCATATTTACGTGGATAAGTATACCACTCTTTTGTTTCTTTAAGTACAAAAATAAGTTTATTACGAAGTGGTCCATCGTTGTTGGCTGCCGCAATCACATCATCCGTATTTCCACTCTCAGAGAGGAATGGAATATTTTTTACTGTTTGAAAAGTGATTGGACATCGTCGCAGTACTTCTTCTCGTGGTAAGAGAAACCAATGCGGTGCTGCATGAAGAAAGAATCCACAACCATCGTAATAAATAGGCATTTGAAAAATATTTCCCCCACGACGCACCTGCAATTGTCGTTGAGGTAATTCTGCTTGTGTGAACCAACACTTATCCCTCACGGAGAAAAGTTTTACATCATCTTCCTTCTCATTCTCCGTATTTGATGTGTAGTGAAGATCCTCTTCTGTAGAGTGTATAAGTTCACCTGTGGTTGCCCAGTAATGAGGAGCCACAACCTTATAAAAGTTTTTCCATGAGAAAATAACTTCATGGCCTTCCGCCAAATAGCGATCCTTCGCTTCAACATTAATCACTTTTACATCTTCCGTTACTTGAAGCTGTTGGACATCCTGCAGTGGTAAAATGGCAGATCCTTTAAAAGGATGGTTAAACGGTTTTAACCACGCCTGCCAATATCCAGTTGAATTGGAAGGATGTGGTGTTTGTTTGGCTTGCAGTTCCACCAGCAGTGGATCCTCAAAATACCATTCATGATGATTCCATAATAAATGCAAGGCATCTGGAGATTTATATAATAATGATGATAAGTCTCTTTCGTGTGATTGTTTATTTACAGAAAGAAAGGATGACTTTCCGTTAGATTGGTAAAGAAGCCAACGTTCATTCTCTGTACGCCGTAATTCATCTTGTAGCATACGTGTTCTTGTGCAATTTGTGAGATTTACTCGAGATTCACAACGAATTAATTTAAGATTGACTCTAGGTGTTCCAACTTCTGTAAATGCAGAAGTTTTAGAGTTGATAACTTCGTTTGCCATTTCCTTTTTGAAGGAAAGATCTAATGTATCAACATCAACATCATCCTTATTATCATCAACATCATTATCTCTGTCGCTCTTATTATTTAAGTTGCTCTTTCTGTTACTTCTAGAGTCTGAATAAGCATAGTGTGAAGAACGATCCATTAAAAACAGAGTCAGATTGTAACCATATTTTTGTGTGAAATTTAACAATAAATCTTTCTTTTCCTCTTTACAGTAGTAACATTGTTTAGTTACAAGTGGGATGAAGTGTGTGGAAGTGATCGCCTTTGCTGTTGCTGTTGCTACAGTATCTGATTCTTCTACAATATCATTACTTCTGTTTGGATGAACAGTGAGGCACCCGTTGTACATTAGTAGTCGTGGTCTGCATGGATACACACGTCGCAAGGCATCAGTAAAACTATTAAAAGAAGCAAATGACATCAGTAAATGATTAAACTATAACAAATATATATATATATATATATATATATA